TGGGGGTGTAGCTCAGGGCAAAGGCCTGAATTCAATTCCCAGCAAATAACAACAAAAAATGTATGAGGATGGGTATTGCCAACATCACATAGATAAAAAAAAGTCTTGCTGACATGAAACTTTGTCAAACTCATGGAATAGTCAAGAATTAAATCCAAAATTGGAATTCTTTTTACTGCACAACATCCCTCCTCTTACCTCTGAAGAGCACTATGTTCATTTTCTTTCTTTTTTTTAAATTTTATTTCCATTTATTTTATGCTTAATTTATTCCCATGCTATACTTTTTGTTTCTTCAGTTTCTTCTGGGATATCTTTTTCTTCTGTGCCACTTCCTCTTCTGGTTTGGGAACAATTTGTTCCTTTTCAGTAAGGATCATCTCAATATGGCAGGGGGAGCTCATGGATGGATTAATCCGGCCACGAGCTCTGTAAGTACGGTGGCGCATCTTGGGTGCTTTGTTCACCTGGATATGTTCAATAACCAGAGAATCTACATCTAAACCCTTAAGCTCAGCATTACTCTCTGCATTTTTAAGCATGTGCAGCAAAAATTCAGCACTCTTTTTGGGCCACCGACCCTGTGTCCAGCCCCACTGTTTGGCCTGGGCACACCTACCACCTCCACCATTGTAACGCCGGAATGGTACACATTGCTTCTTTAATGTGACATCCTTGAGATACTGGGTGGCCTTTTGGATACCTTGATGGCCTGGGCACTTTCACACGTGTTCTTAAAGTGAACGCGAAGATTTGAGCCTCTTGATTTGCATGATTTTGTGGGGTTTTCTGGGTCAAGAGAGTAGCGAACCATTTTCACAGGTCACCTAAGGCCGCTCACAGGAGAATGTTCATTCTCTCTCTCTCTCTCTCTCTCTCTCTCTCTCTCTCTCTCTCTGTACTTAGTACAGGGTCTACAGGGCCTCACTACACAGATCAGACTTGGAGTGATCCTCCTGTTTTCCGCCTCCCAAGTACTGGATTACAGGCACTTGCCACCACACCCAGTCTCAGCCACCTTCTCAGCGCACCCCAGGGGCAGGGTCGACAAGGCACACCAGTCCCTGCATCTGCCTAAGCAGGCATTCTAATCCTCTAAGCTATCTGGCCTTTAAACATTGATTCTTTCAGAAGTTTCTGTATAGCTTTAGGTCCCTTCCTTTCCACAGCATTTCCTCTGAACTGTCTACAACCTCCTCCACATTTAACACAAAGGAAAACTTGAGGCAGAGTGTTGCACCGTGAGCATCACATCTCCAGGGCCCTGAGTATTCTACAGTTTCCCTACCTTATGCCAAAGCTGACTTCATAAGAGGGAGCTTATTGTGATGAGTCAATGTTAAACTAATGTGAAAAAATTGCTCTGCTCAACTTTCTGTGACCCTGCTTCCTTGTAAGACCACAAGGAGGCCTGGTGCACCATCAATAAATCATCAATAGACTGAGAGTTCCCAAAATAGACCTACAAAATAAATCAAAGTAAAGGTCAAAATGTTTCTAACTGTACACAATAACTAAGGTGTTGCTAACCAACTGGAAATCGTGGCTGTGGTAGTCAAGACCACATGGGCTGGCCAAATAGCTCAGCAGATTAAAGGGCCTGCAAGCAGGCTCAGGGGCCAGGGGTTCGATCCCGGGCCTGCCAAGCCGGCCCTGCCCCTGGGGCACGCTGAGATGGCAATTGAGACTGAGTGTGGTGGTATGCACCTGTAATCCCAGCTCTGGAAGGCTGTAAACAGGCGGATCACTACGAGTCCAATCTAGTACTGAGACCCTGAACACCCTGTAGACCCTTCCCTAAAATGCAAAAAATAAAAATAAGTAAATAAAAAAGACCACAGCAACACAGATGTACATTAAAAGGAAACTGAACAATGTTCCCAGAAGGATTGTATGCTGAATGATGACCACACTGTCCCTAAAGGTGCTGTTCTGTGTTAGATGACAAATTTGTTTGCCAAACGGGATGTGGTTTTTTGCCTTAAAAATCCCTTGCTCCCTGGGTTACCGGCTGATCAGTCTTCTCCTGAGTGAGAACTGATGGAGGGTCCTGAGCTCAGTAAATAAAGGCCCTTTCAAATTCCAGTTTGGCCTCTGATCTGGCTTCTATGCTGAGCAACCCAGAAAATTTCTCACCGTTGCCCTGCGAGCCGAAGTTCCGAAGTTGCCCCTCCTAATCGCTCCCCATTCAGCATGCGATGGGCTTTCCTCCTTCACCTGGCAAAAACGGACTGAGGTTGGTCTTTCGCTCCACAAGGTGGCGCTCAAGGCTGCCCCAGGCAGCGATCAAACCCAGGGCTTCCAACAGCATAGGCAAGGGCCCTACCCCTGCGCTACACTCCAAACCCTGGCCCTCCACTTTATCAAGACCCTTGAATTTAATAGTTTTCGTGATCTGCAGATCCTTCCGGAGCAGCAGACTCAATATTTTGTACATTTCAGAGAAACCCAAGCAGGCACCACTTTTAATCCCCTCTAACACCCACACAAACACCTCTGTACGGTGTCCAGCCTCTCTTACCCCATCCCTTTCCACCCAGAGCCAGTGGGCAGGTCATGGGGCACCCAGCCTTCCCTCCCCAGCGGTCTCAACCCCGGATCTGCCACTTGCTCCCTATTGGCACCCGCAGTAAGCTCCATAGTGGAACCGTGCAGGCTTCTCCATCTGTGAAATAGGGGCATTCTCAGTAGCTACTAAATAAATTAATGTTGGTGGGGCCGGGGAGATGGCTCAGTAGAATAAGCACTTGTCTGGCAAGCACAAGGACTTGAGTTCAATCCCCGGTTCCCCGGGGGGGGGGGGGGGGCGGAATTAAAGGGCTGAGGATATAACATAGTGGGCAGTGCTACTGAGTTTCATCACCAGTAAAAGACACACACAACTGTAAGGATATCAAGAACCTGAAATAGCTTTATTTTCATTTTTTTGAGTCCGTCGTTCTGACCTCAGCCCACAGCGATCCTCCAGCCTGATCCTCCCAAGCGCTGGGTTACAGCACACCACCAGCCCTGGCCTGCAATGTTTTTGGTCTCCAGTACTATAGCCCAGGCTGGCATCAAACTCAAGTGATCCTCCTTCCTCAGCCTCTCAAGTGCCGGGACTACAGAATCAGGAGGATTTTGAAAGTCGTTCTAGGAGGCCAAATTTTCTTCATGCAGAACTGCAGGATTTGAAAGACTCAACGTGAAAAACAAACATTACAAAAATTGGCTTTAATGTCTTAAACTCCAGAGCTGATGACCCGTGCTCCCAAGTGGCTAAATGAACTTGCCACCTCAAGCCTGGGGCTGCGAATCTCCCACTCATTGCCTCACTCTTCTCCAGTTCCCTTCCACCCGCCCTCCTACCACAGTGCAGAACTGCAACATACCACAAATTTTTCTTCCTTGCCGAATTGTTTCTTTTTTTTAAACTGGGAATCAAACTCAGGACCTTGCACTGCCAGGTGGACGCTTGTGCAGCTGAGCTATATGCCCAACCCTATTATAATCTGTTATCATCTAATAGTATCTTATTTCTCATGCAGAAAACGTTTTAACACTTGAACCTTAACAGATAGCCCGAGTTTTCCTTTCTTGCAGGGGCGAGGGGGTCCTTGACTGAAAATTTATTTCTGAGACAGGGTCTTGCTATGTAGTTCAGGCTGGCTTCAAACTCACAATCAAACTCATACCTACAGGTGAAAATTTAACTGGGTTGGTATACACCTTAACACCAGCTGTACAAGAGGCTGTGGCAAGATCTAAAATGCAGTCAACCTAGCCAATTTAACAAGACCCTCTTTTTTTTTTTTTCCCCCCAGAACCAGGGATTGAACTCAGCCCCTTGCACTTGCCAGGGAAGCGCTTATTCCACTGAGCCATCTCCCTGGCCCAAGACCCTGTTTCTTGAGAAAAGGGAAAAAAACTGGGGACAGAGCATCGTAACAAAACCCTTCCAAGCCTCAGCCCCCCTTTTTTTTGGTGGAACCGGGGATTGAATTTAGGCCCTTGCCAGGCAAGCACTTATTCTACTGAGCTATCTCCCTACTGCCCCCACAAATTTTTTTTTATTTTAGGGAAGGGTCTACAGGGTGTTCAGGGTCTCACTACTAGATGGAACTGGTAGTGATCTGCCTGTTTACAGCCTCCTAAAAGCTGGGATTATAGGCGAGTGCCACCACGCCCAATCTCAATTGCTGGCTCAGCGCACCCTGGGGGTGGGATTGAATCCTGGCTCCTGCTTGCAGGCGCTTTTTTTTCAATCTCTAGTTCTTGGAGAAGGCAGGACAGAGAAAGACCTCAACTGTTAAGATTTCTGTTCTCCAAGTAAGCAAAAGCAAACCTAGAGGGCTCTATTTGCCCTAATAGAGTACAGGTTTGTGCTAGATGGGAAACTAAAACGTAAAGATAAGAGTCCAAAAGAGCTGGACGTGATGATACAGGACTCACATCCTGGCTACTCCAGAGGCTGAGGCAGGCCAGCATCGGACAGCACACAAAACGTCTCAAAATGTTTAAGCTTAGGAAAGCAAAGCTGGAGTGTGGCTCAGTGGTGCAGGGCTTGCCTACCTTGCATGAAGCCTCGGGTTCAATCCCCAGCACCATGAAGAATGAGTGGGAAGAGGAAATCCTACTTACTCCTGCTCCTGTCTCAGAACATCTTCTGAACGCTCACTACAAAAACGGTTTGATCCCAGAAATCGCCCTAGGAAGCAATTTTTCCTCAGCCTTGGGGGAGCCCATTGGTACACTGGGCTGGGCAGGAAGGCAGGCGCTTCCTCCTTTCACCCAGGGTGTGAGATTGCCTGGGGCTTCTCCCCCAGCCCCTCCTCCAGCAGAGGAAGGAGGAGCCACACACTGGAGGCCCAGGAACAGCTGCCTGAATTCCAGAAATAAAAAGAGTGGCACAGGGCCCTGGGGACAGGCCCCAGGTGGCCAGGAAGCAGGGCTTTCATACATCATCCTGTTTGCACAGGGACCCTCAGTGATGTCATTTCCCCATGCTCCACAGAAAGAGGCACTGACAAACAAAGTTTTTATTTCCAGCAACATCCAACGAATTTGAGTGAAGTAGCCCCTCCACTCCACACAATCACCGCGCACGCACCCACGCAAGCACGCACACACACAGATACACTCACTCTCACTCCCTCTCATATACTCCCCACAGCCCTCCAGATATCTTCTATGGCTCCATCCAGTTGTTCCAGCTTTCTTTCCTTCAGATCAGTGGTTTTAAATGTCCTGCTTCACATCCCTGAAAATTTCCTCTGCTTCCCTACTTCCTCGTAGGCATAGTTTGCTTGTGTTCAGGAAGGCAGGGCAGGAGGGTCTCAGTGGCACTTTTCTTGGGAAGATGGGTGAACAGGCTCCAGAGACGATATCACAACCAAACCACCACTGCAGCGGCTCGGCTCTGTACCACCCCATCTAGAGCGGCTGGCACCAGTCCCCACCACGCAGCATCAAGCCAGAGGCCGGACTCAAGATCTTTATCCAAAGGCCACGGCAGGCCAGGTAGTGAGTGGTTTCGGGTTCCTGGGAGCCCCGCCACTTAGGCTGTCTACTCAGAAGAGACGTCAGCAGGCACCCAAGCTCCTGGCCGCTCTCCCCACAGGGCAGGGGGAGGGAAACCACTCAGCAGCGGTAAGGAAGGAGGGGAAAGGTGGTGAAGAGGAAGGTGTACAAAGCTGACGTTATTAAAATTACATCCTAAGATAAAAGTAGGGGGATCCTGTGGGTCTAGAAAAACAAGGCATCCTGTGAATCTACAGACGTCAGGGCCAGAGGCTGGTCGCTCTGGAGCAACACAGGCATCAGACACAGTTGAGCCAGCCCAGGTCACACCAGGAACGAGGAGGTCTGTTTGAATTCCCCCTGAGGAAAGAAAATATCTCGTCAGCTCTAGAATTTTTTTTTGGCAGAACTGGGGATTGAACTCAGACCCTTGCGCTTGCTCTAGAGTGTTCTTCAGTTAGAGACATAGAGAGGCAGGCTAGGAAAGCCGCACTCCAGCCAAGAGGGCAGCAGTACTCACTTCACTGCGGGCAGCGGGCTGGCTGTAGATCACCTTCTTACTCGACGATGAGGTCCTGTGGACAAGTCAGAACACAGGGGTACTCGTACTCAGGCCTAGCCCCAGCCCCAGCCCCCTCTGCACCCACCCTGGAGGCCACAACTAAAACCTGCAGAAGCAGAGGACTCAGTGGGGAAGTGTGGGCCGAAGGATATGGGGAGGTCTAGGGTGCAGGGGACACAAGCTGGCGGCCTCCACCTCCAAGCCCCACCCCCACCCTCCAGGCCCCATCTCAGCTTCAAATCACAGCATCCAAGTTCTCAGCCTCCAAGAACCCCAGGGCAGCATTTCACTCACTTTGTCTTTGCTCCTGAAAGAGAAAAGAAGAGGCTGTAAGAAACAGCCAGAAGCCAGAAGACCATAGGCTGGCACGAAAGGTGGGACAGTGCTGGCAACATTGGACAGGGGCTAGGGGCTAGGGTCCAACTGTCTAGTCCTCAGGTGACACCCACAAACCATGCCTAGACTGGGGAATGACAGAGACAAAGGAGGACAGACACTTACGCTCAAAGTAGCCTCGGCTGTAGGCAAACCAGATACCGAAAACCAAGAGGCCAAGGAGGATCAGGGTGATGAAGACAGCTGCCACGATGCCTCCCACATTCGGCTCCACTGTGAGACACCAAACAGGGGTCAGGACCTGGATGCTCAGTCATGGTGCTGACAATGCCACACAGGGCAAAATGAGAAGCAGACCCTGGCCCCATCCAGCTCTAAGCCCAAGCCCCGCCCAGGCCCTGCCCAGGCCCAGGCCCACGCACCAGCCTCCATGCGGACAGCTTCAGACCTCGCAGGCTGCCCATACCCATTCTGTGCTTGACAAGTATACTCTCCAGTATCCGAAGCCGTCAGAGGACTGAAGACCTGCAGAGAAGAGAAAGTTGGCTCGAAACAAAACATCTGCATCTTTGGTCTCCTGCCACTAGCTCCAAGTTTGCCCTGTTGCTTGTTCTTCCTCCACAATCCAACAGTTCTGTATCTGTGCCCCACGCCCCCCAAGATCCGGAGCCCCACTGTCCATACCAGCTCCCCTGTCTTGTGATCCAGGGTATAGGAAGAATTGCTGAAGGCACGGGTATTCTTGGGATCCTCAGGCATCAGGACCCCATCCTTGAACCAGGAGTATTCAGAGGGTGGAGAGCCATCCTGTTCAGAGCAGGTCAGCACCGTCCTGGTACCAATGGTGGCAGACGAGGGGATGTTGACTGCGGGCTTGGATGGTGGCACTGGGGAGGGAGAGAAAGAAGCAAGCTGCTGAACCAAGAGTAGAGACCACAACTGATCAACTCAAGCCACTCTCTCTTACACCCTTAGCTTCCAGTAGATACTGTCACCATCAAGGTGTTCCAAAGCTTAGCAGTCTGCTTGGGTTTTAAGGAAGCAGCTGTCCCCAGGCCCAAAGGGAAGAAAGTGATGTGGCACATACCAAGCACGATGAGCTGGATGTGGACCTCCCCATAGTTGTTGCCATTGTCCTCAGAGACCATACACGTATAGGTCCCAGTGTCCTCCCGGGTCACCGTACTGAAGGTGATGCCGCTGGGTGAAAAGGTTACACGGTTCTCATAGGAAGCTACCAGGAGAAGACAAAGACCGGGTGAACTGGAGACCTGAGAAAAGCTGGCAAAGGTGGCACCCAAGGGACTCAGACACCCTCTCCTTCCTCAGAAAGAGGAATGGGAAGGAAAGCCAGAGACTCCAGCCCCTGGATCAACTCTTCCACACGTTCACCCATCAGAAGGAGGAGGTGAGGTGAGGTGATCTTACCTGTGATCTTGTTACTATAGCAAACAAGTCTGGTGGTGTCACCGTGGACAAACTTCCACTCCACACGGGGGGAGCTGAAGCCAGAGTAGGCGCAGTCCAACTTGACTTCTGCAGACAGGACCAAAAGGAAAGGAGGAGGAGCAGGGAAAATGGGCATGGCCCCAACTACCCCCACACCCAGCCTGCCCACCCTTCACGGCCCCGCCCCACTCACGGCTATGCTCAGGAACTCGGACTTCAGGACTAGAAGTATACACTGTGCTCCTGCCCAGCACCAGGAAGCCTGAGGAGAAGGACAAAAATGCACCCCCGTCAGAAAGGAGCAGAGACACTGGGCATGGTGGCACACACCTATAATCCCAGCACTCAGGAGGCTGAGGTAGGTGTAGCAATGAGAGTTTTGAGACCAGCCTGGACTACAAACTGAGTTCAAGGCCAGCTTGAACTATACATCAAGATCCTGTCTCAGAGAGAGAAAAAAAGAGTGGAGAGAAAAAGACAAAGACAGGGGCAAAGGGAAATGCAAGCTCCTCCCAGCTCAGTTCTGACACCTCCTGCCAGTATCCTAACAATCCTTTTTTTTTTTTTTTTTTTTTTTTTTGAGGTACTGGGAATTGAACGCAGGACCTTGCGCTTGCCAGGCAGACGCTTATTCTACTGAGCTATCTCCTGGGCCCTAGGAGGTTTTTTGGTTTTACCTGTCTTTCTTTTTTGTTTGTTTGTTTGTTTGGCCCTCAGGATGCCTTCAGGGCAGGTCTGGTTTGGCTTGAGGATGAGGGGATCAAAAAACAGCATCCTGAGCCTGACTGCTTTGTTTCAGCAGGCACTTAAACACCTGAGCTATGGGGAGGCCCCCCTAACAATCCTTTTAAATGTGTTCTGCAGGCTGGCATGGTGGCACATGCCTAGAGTCCCTGAATTTAGAATACTAGGGCAGGTGTCTCCATGAATTTCAGGCAAGCCTGGGCTATACAGTGAGTTCAGACTTTGTCTCCAAAAAGAAAGAACCAAACATCAACCAATCAATGGGTTTTTCTATAAACATAAAGGCAGACCAATGCTTCTTTTATCAATGGAAATGAAACATATTCTTTAAATGCAATTTTGTTCCTTGCGAATGGTTCCCTCTGTGACTCCCAATAATGTAATTAAATTTCTGACAGTCCAAGGGCAGCCTCTTCCAAAATGACATTTCACAGTTCAAAGAAAGCTTCTCAACAAAGGATTGCAGCCACTCAACAATCCTGGAAGGAAGCCATGACCCAAGAGGCCCAGGAGAGGTGGAGGAGGCGGGAAGAGTAATGAGGATAACGCCCCTGGAGGTTAGTAGAGCATTTGGTGCTTCTTAAGGTGTTTTCAGCTATATCTTTGATCTTTGGAAGAAGCATGACAGATCAGCAGGACTAATATTATTATTCCAATTTTACTCCAGGAACTGAGACTATATAAAAGAGGAACGTGTCTAAAATCACACAGCTGCAGGATCTGAGATGAGACCAGGGCTAGTGCTGGGCTTTGACCTCATTTGAATCGCTGGTACTGAACCAGCAGTGCACACCTGTAATCCCAGAGCTCTGGGAGGCTGAGACAGGAGGATCCCAAGGTTGAGCCCAGCCTGGACAATTTAGCAAGACTTTGTTTCAAAATAAAAAACCAAGTAAATGGAAAAGTGCCCTGATGGGGCGAAGGAAGTAAGGATGGAGGGATCTAATTAAATAGGGGCAGGGAAGAAGCCCGGTTCCTCTGTGGGGCTCAGACCTGACAAATTAAAGTAGGGACAGGACTCTGGATTCTCAGATAGAGCCACAAACCTGCACTTACACAGTCAGCCTTACTGAGGTTTCAGTGCTCAGACACAGGAAGGGTTTATTTATATCCTTAAGTCACACCCTGGTCTTCTAGATAAATGTACAGAGAACTACAATGGAAGCACACGTGTTAAATTCAAGAATGTTTCCTTTCTTCAGCTATCCACATGACTTCACAGGGTCTCTAGACAACTGAGTCTCCTCTTCCTCATTTGAAATATGGGGGGCCTGCCCTTAGCTCAGTTCTTTAAGTGGCTGCTTCAACAAAGCAGTCAGGCTCAGGTGGCTGTGGTTCAATTCCTACAACTCAAGCCAGCCAAACCTGTCCTGAAGGCATCTGAAATATGAAGAGTTTGGTACCTGGATTGGAACTCAGGACCTTGCACTTGCCAGGCAGGCACTGTGCCTCTGGGCTACATCCCCAGCAATATGAGGGATTTGAACTACATGTCTCCCAATCCTTTTAGGCCATGAATCCCACCAAAACCCCTGCTTTGGCATTAACATTTAGAAAATTTGTTTCAGGGATTTTTTTCTTTGCCCTGAGGGTGGGGGTGGGGGATCAGGGATCGAACTTGGGACCTTGCACTTGCCAGGTAGGCACTTATTCCACTGAGCTAGCTACCTGGCCCCTATTTTTTTTTTTTTTTTTAAAGATGGGGTTTTGTTGTGTAATTCAGGCTGGCCTCTAACTCATGGTAGTCCTCCTCCCTCGGCCTCCCAAATCTTGGGATTACAGGTATGCACCACCACATCTGGTTAGAGTATTTATACAATATACATTTATTTCAATCTGACATAAGAGCTGGAGAGATGGCTTAATGGAATAGGCGCTTCCCCGGCAAGTGCAAGGGCCTGAGTTCAATCCTCGGTTCCACCAAAAAAAAAAAAAAAAAAAAACAACCAACCATAAACAAATCAATCTGACATAACATCACCATGAATTAGTACAGATGATACAGACAATGCCACTTCACAGATGAGAAAATTAAGTATCTTTAGATTAAGTGGCCGGCCCAAGGTTTCATGGCAAGAAAATATGAGGGGTAAAATATCCATCCATTCCTCCCATATCCATCCATCCATCCATCCATCCACCTACCCTTTCTTTCTTTCTTTCTTTCTTTCTTTCTTTCTTTCTTTCTTTCTTTCCTTCTTTCTTTTTGTAAACCAGGGTCTTGCCATGCAGTCTCGGTGAGCCCCAACCTCACTCACTATACATACAGCGCAGGCTGGCTTTGAATTCACAATCCTCCTGCATCAGCCAAGTGTTGGGATCACAGGCCCTTTATCCCCAGCCTCCTTCTAACTTGGAAGGTCTGAGCTGCTGAGTTCCACACCCTGGAAACTTGAGTTTGCAATCCCCTGCCTCAGCCTTCCAGTCTTTTTCCTTCTACCTTCTTTTATTGGTAAAATAAACCATGGTGTTTCTGAAACAGCTCTGGGTTTAATGATGGTAATCTATGTAACAAAGTGCTATTCTTTTATTTTTTATGTTTTGGCCAGCTCAGCCCAACCTGAGGGTGGGGCTGGTGTGGCATGTAGTGCCGGGATCGAACCGCAGTCCCCTGCATCTGCGTAAACTTGCCTAAGCAGGCAATTTAGACCACTGAGCTATCTTGCCAGCCCTATTCTTTTAATTTGTGTTTTGTTTTGAGAGAGTGTCTCACTATGCAGCCCAGGCTGCTCCTGAGCTCACAACCCTCCCCCCTCGACCTTCCTTCCAAGTGCTGGGATTACCGGCATGATGCCACCACGACCAGCTGATAAAATGCTACTCTTGAAAACAAGGTTGATTTTAATCTATGAATTTGCTTCTAATATTACTGTGTACTGCATATTTCTTGCTGCCTTTTTAATGCCAATAATTTTATACTCATATAATAACACATGCAGAAATTAAATCAAATGGCCCTTAGTTCATTGGAAACGCCTCCTGAGGGTGTGGAGCACTCTTACGCAGCTTTTACTGAGTATGCTAATAATGAAATGTCTAGACTTGCAGGCCCACCTTCCCGGATTTGCTGACAGGAACCTAGTTTTTTGGGTTGTTGTTGTTTTTTTTTTTTTTTTAGAGATTTTTTCAATTTAACAGTTTGCTCCTGCAATATGAAGGACTTACTGACCTCCTGTGGGCTCTGGCCAGCAGCCACCTTCGAGGCCACTGGATCCCAGTGCCACCAGTGACAGGAGGTAGAAGTGCCAGGCCCAGCTCTGTGGCCGGCACTCTTGGGCCCAGAGCTCCCTGCGTGGCAGTCCCACGGTCCCGGACCTCACCCGTCTGCAATGTGCCTCTCCCTCTCCCTCAGCCCAATCTTGCTTCCCAGCTTTACATAGCTGTGTTTTGTGCGGTAACTGACGTCACAGAGGTAGCTCCTCAGGAACCCAACCAGACACCACCCGAGTGATGAGCAGCATGTAATTAGACTAAAAACTAGCCTGTGACACACACCCATGTTCACATCTGTGAATCCGCAGGCTCTATCACTGCTGAGCTCTTTGTAGGGTCCTGAATTAGAAGAAATAAAGACAGGTAAAAAGGAGACAAGGGGAGAAAAAAAGGATAATTTAAAAATTATACTGTTTTATGTATTTAGCAGAGGGTCTACAGGGTTTCACTACACAGATCGGACTCAGAGTGATCCTCCTGTTTTCAGTCTCCTAAGCGTGGGGATTACAGGTGCGTGCCACCACGCTTGGTCTCAGTTGCCCTCTCAACGGGCCTGGGGCCAGGGCCAGCACAGCATGCCAGGAATCGAACCCCAGTCCCTGTGCCTGCCTAAGCAGGCACTTTAGTCCGCTGAGCTATCTGGCCGGCCCCTAAAAATTATACTTTTAAGAAGACTACAACGCCTGCCAGGTGTGGGGCACAAGGATTGCTTGGAGCTCAAGGCCAGCCTGAACTGCGAGAGCCTGTCTCCAAATTGACTATAACTTCAGGAGTCAAAGCGGTACCTAAGGCTATCCGCATCTTTCCATCCAAGACCTATTTATTCTTCTTTCCTTGCAGCCTCATCACACCCAAAATTCATTGAAGACACTGTAAATCCATGAATTAGCTTAACTGATACGGTAAAGAGCACAAATGTATATCATATACAGAAGTAGACCCAAATGTTTTAAAGAATGTTTTGGGGAAGACAGGTCACCTGTCTTTAGAAATGGACTCCAGAGCCTGCCTTTCTCAGGAAAACCCTGAGGTCCTGTAAGAGAAGTCATTACCTTCCTTCCTGTAGCCAACCACACACACCCAGGCTTTCTGTAGATGGCACCAAAAGCACCTAACTATTCCCAGCTCCCAGCTCTCTCTAGAGGGCCTACACTCTAATTCTTTAAATTCTGCCTAAGAAACTTCTTTATGTGTTGCACCTACAACCCACTTTAGGGACTTCCTTGGTCCCTGCCAAGTGACATGCTGAGATCTCAGACCTACAACATGCTCTGGAATCACACACATACACGCACAACATGCTTC